CATCTCTCCTCCCTGAACTCGCGGCGTAATTTAAACCACCGCCAAACAACACGTTTACCTGGGCGTCCGCACACAGGGAGAGACTTCCACATTGTTCCAAAATCTATAGCGATGACTGACACACTACCTTCAGCGTTATATTATATATATATATATATATATATATATATATATATATATATATATATATATATTTATTTATTTATTTATTTATTTATTTATTTATTTATTTTAGACCCATTATTAACAACAAGTTTGAAGATAAGATATGTGGTGATGGCCCAAGCCTTTCAGTTATGTTTGAGGATGACAAACATTTACAGACTCTTATCTACAATATTAGGGTAAAACATTTTTTTTTTACTTTTTTCTACTTACAATAATAATTGGATTCAAAATATTTTCATTTTAACAACAAAATAAACATTTCATTTAAAATAAACTGGCCTTCTTTAATCTGTGTTTGAAGCAATAAAAAAAAACATGCTACCTTGGCACCTAGAAATAACTAATTTATAAAAATTTGTTTTTTACTGAAAATTATCACACCTCATGAAATAAATCCAAAGAACATTTCAATTATTTTCTTTAATGCTGATGGTTGGAGTGCGTGCCAGTCTCAAAAGAAAGTTCACTAAAATCTTAATAGACACTGTTGAGTAAAGAAAAAGTTGTGTCATTGTTTTAGTATACTCAAGTTACAATCACTTCATTTACTAATGCCACAGAAACAATGAACTATACCTTGCCTACTACATCAGGTTGAAAAGGGTAATCTGCTCATACTATTAGTTGTTCAAGAGTAAATATGAAATATGCTAAAGAAACTTGTACTGTGTGTTTGTTCTCTAGTGTATTTGGCAAAAACCGCTTTAGCTATTGAAATCTCTAATCTGAATAATTAAAGTGAAAGTTTAGTTAAAACATTTGCCTATCAACCTTGTAATATGCTTCTGTGACAGGATGCTCTCAGTGCAGCTTTCAATGCAGCCAGTCAGTATGCTGATACTTTTGAAGCTTACAGAGAATTTTTTAAAGAAAATGAAAACTTGGATATTTCTGCTGTGAGTGGTGTGGATCATGGTATGTATTTTACATTGATTTTAAATCCTAAAATATAATTTTAATATACTTGATGCAGCTTCAACATGTATGATGTAAATTTTCTACATTGATCTATTTAAAATACTGCATATTTTTCTTTATTATGTTTTCAGGTGTAATGTACAACTATTTTTTAATTATTATAAACAGTAGGCATATGTAGGTTCAGCCTGAGAAGTTATAATATTATATATTGTAAACTTCATGAACTAGAAATGGACATGTAAATATAATTATTAAAAAGAAGTAGAGTCTACAAACTCCAAATAATATTGTATTTCTGGGTGAGAGGGGGTGGAATAAGAGGGAACTACATGTGATAGAGGGAAGTGTTAAATTCATAACCATCATATTTTCCCTTCTGTGCTGAGAACACAGAGGGCTGCCACAGAAATCTCTATCCACTTTTGGAGGTCTCTGGCAATTTTCGCCAAGATAATCCAGCTCTTGTCAGTAGTTGTTTTTCTGCTCTGTGCCTCCATGTCCCCATGCCCTTCTCTGTTTTCTTTTTCCTCAAGCACCATTCTTGTAATATCATCTGATTTCCTTGCTTTAATATATCTGTAATATAAGGCTGGTCGTAATGTGTCAGTCAGTCAGTCGGTCATTGCAATAGATTCTTGAACAATTAAAAGTAAACTTCAACACTTGCCGTGCTTTTTACTTGCATCAAATTGTCTTATTATAAGTGATATATATATATATATATATATATATATATATATATATATATATATATATATATATATATATATATATATATATATATATATATATATATATATATATATATATATATATATATATATATATATATATATATATATATATATATATATATATATATATATAGTTTATTAAAACTAACATTTACTTTAGAAACTGTGTTGAAATGAATTTTTATTTGTTTTTCTTCAATACTTAATGATTCTTTTTGCTTATATTTTCTCACCTTTTAGAGGGTGTCACACTGACAGGTATACCTATTAGTAATTTAGCAACTTTTCCCCCTATAGTTAGATAAGTGTTATTTTTGTTTAAATTTTTAAGCTCCTTTTATTAGTATTTTTATTTATAGTAGTTTGTATGAAAGATATTTTTAATAACTTTTTGTAGAAGTAAGTGCTAATTTTTGCAACCTTAAAAAAAACGTAAGCTTCAAAACAGTTAAATATTCTAAGAAAATCCAGTTTTGATTCTTTTATATTTTTTAAAATGTTTTGAAGATCTTTGTATATGAATTTGTATTTGAAGTTTAAATTTCTAAATTGCTTGAATTTCAAAAAGTTATTTAAAAACAGAAGTATTAGATTTCTTTATTTTTCAGATGTGATTTTTCAAAACATATCATTAGTAACTCTTAACTTACCTACTTAATACACTAATAGTAATCTAGAGATTTAAAAAAAAATTTACTATAATATACAATACATTAAAAGTTGTAGCCAAATTCAAATTCTTTTTTACTAAGCCACGATAATTTATACAATTTATAAATCTTTTTTTTAATATTTTTTTTTATTTTGAAAATCTTTGTTATTTATGTAACTAAATATCCATTAAGTTATTACTTCATAATTAATTTATTTTATACTTTCAGTAATATTTCTAGTTTATTTTTTTATATTAAAAACACATAGCTCATTGGAGTTTTAGATTAGTTTTGATAAGCATTATTTTACAAAGATGGAGCTATATTTTATTGAATGCATTATAAAAACAAATTAACTTTAAAAGTAAGTTAAATATGTTGTACAAAAGGTTTTAATTTCTTTCTAACCAATTTCTATATTTTGAATTTTCTGCTGTTGATCACTAAACAGAAATAGTTTGCCAAATAAGTATGCAATTTGAATGTCAACAGATGTACAGTTCTTTGCTGAACACCTTGCAAAATACAACACGCAACACAAAATGGCTAAACACATTGTTGAAAAAAGACCAGTTGGAATGCTAATAGTTGATGCCACAAAAATGAAATCACTTTTAATTCCATCTCCTTTAAGATGCTTGGATGTAAATAATATTTTTTTCTTCTTTCTTTAAGTATAAATAATGAAACAGTGTGAATTCTAAGAGTATTAAATACATTCAAGAGTTTAGGAGAGATTTTAGATTAGATATTTTAACATCTAAAGATTGTTTTAACCTTTCCTGAATTTTATAACCTACTGTTAACTTACAAAAAATTAACTATCAACTATTTCAGAGATAGTTTTGAGAAGGCAGAAAAACAAAATATGTTTAAAAAACCTTGAGATATTTAGAGTTGTTTTCGTAATCAAAACATTTTGAAATTCATGAGTTATAATTTAAAATAGGTTATCAATGACATGCTGCCTCAACTAGCAAGAAAAGAAGTGGATAGACTAGTCGCTGAACTTCAAGATGCTCAGTTCAAACTAGAAGCAACACCTACAACAACCAATGAGTTTGTAAACTCACTTACATTTCTGGATGATGTTCAAATCAGAGTGAGTAGCAGAAGCTTATAATATAATATAGAGAATAAATAATTTTCACCTAAAGAATATTATTATGTAGACAAAATACTGGAAGTCAGCACATTTTGTTAAAAGCAAATTACACTGCTCAATGTCAATCTAATTTACACTATACCCCACCCATGTTACACCAAGAACCACAACCTAAAACAAACACCCACACAGGAACTGCCCCACACCCCAACCAACCAATGTTAAGACTGATAGAAAATACTTGATAAACATTAATAATAGTGGGGTGAATAAAATTGATTAATTAAATGAGGTTGAGACTCTGTTTAATATTTTAAAGTTAAGAATAGATTTGGTAATCATCATTGTTATTTCATAAATCAATATCTATTTGGTTTTGAAGATTCCTGCAGATTTTGCTGTTAGTTTATTGGTGAAATTTATTTATTTATTTGGAATAAAATAATTAATTTGAAAATTGGGTACAGAAGAGAAGATAGTTTAAAAGGAAACAATTTTAATGCTAACTTTTGGTACTTCAGTTTATGTTTACTATGTATTTTCATACCTTTTGATTATCACTAGTTCAATGATGAGAGTTAAGGTTTTGGTGGCTATATCAGCATTAAAAACACAAACAAAGCATTAAATATAACTTAGCCATCACAATAGGTTGCTTAGTTAACAGATTTGCATTGTGCTGTTAAATAAATTGGTATAACCAAAATATGTTGTTCTTCTATGAGATTAGTCACACATATGGATAACATTGCAATGTTACAATGGTGTGTATGGTGGATGATTGATTACATGTGGATCATGGTGTTAGTGGGTGTCTTGTTGATTGTGGGGCTAGCTGTATGGGTGTGGTTCATGTTAAGGTGTGGGGAGGGGTAGTATAGGGTTTGGTTTGGGCTGTGATTAATGGTGTTGTGCTGGGTGATGTATTTTTGGGTGTGGTGCGGGGTGGTGTGAGGTTAAGTCTACTCTATGTGTGTATAGGCCATGGGCAGATGAAACAGAGTTTACCTGTTTGTGTGACCTCTTTATATAAAGGAATAGTGTACTCCATGTGTAGTTTGGTGTATAGGCATGTGTTATTTGTATGATGTAGTGTATGGGAAGTTGAGTGTATAATGTAGGATAAGTGGCTGGGTATGGATCATGTTATAAGTGGAGTGAGGTGTGTGTTTTGATATGTGGGGTAGTGGGGTGTTGGTCATGGAATGGGTGTTTTGTAGTGTTGTATGTGGGGTAGGGTGTTGTGTTTCAGATTGTTGGGTGGTGTTTCTGGCATGGGGTGACTTATGGGTTGTTTGGGGTTTGGTTCAGGGTGTGGATCATGGTATCCTGTGTGAAGTTGTATGCTTTAGGGTGTGGAGAGGGTGGTGTGGGCTTTTGTCTACTCTGTGTGGTGTGGTGAGGTGTATGGGGAGTTGTGGGATGAGTGGTTGGGTGTGGATCATGGGACTAGTAGGGGTGAGGTTTGGGTTGTGCTATTTGGTATAGTGGAATGTTTCAAATTGGTAGGGGGGGTTGGTTGGGGTGTGGGACAGTTCATGTGGGGCTGTTTGGTTTGCTTTGTGGTTCTTGGTGTATGTGGGTTGGGCATGGTGTAAAATTTTCTTTCTGTTACTCTCCCCCTTAATTTTTTAAAAATATTTTATTATGTTGAATTAATATATATTTCACAAGAATTACAAAACACTGGTTGTTTTTTGTTTTGTGCCGTTCATTTCTCTCCTCGAAATGTTCATTTTAGATTTTCACAATCTATGCATTTGAGTATGTATTTGAGCTAATATTTTTATCATCTAAATGCTTTAGTTTTATTTGATTACACATATTTTAGCATTATTCAATCAGTTTTCTAATGATTTTAGAAAATCAATGACTAAACACAACTCATGTCTTTGTCCAAAAAGCTTTAAAATATATGATTAAAACAAGAACAATTGGATTGAAAATGATAAGTTTTAATCCAGTTTGACTGTAATGATTTTACTTTGTTGTTTAGTACATGTTTTCTAAAGCTCCTTCAATTCTTCTCTTTTTTATTATTATATATTTTGATTGCCTAAATCTTATTTTAGAAAATTCTTTCAATTGATGATTTCAGATTGATCCCCTGGAGAGGGAAGCCATGGTTGTTAAAGAAATGTATGAGCTGATTGAGCAATTCCATGTACCAATGCCAGATGTTGATCTTGTCACATATCAGGTCACCATTTCTTTGATCTTGATCTATGTTGTTTTTTTTAAAATGAGAATATATACCTTATCAAACAGCAGTGCCTTTAATGATTATCTTAAAAATATGAAGACTTTATTTTATTTGTTTTCTAAATCAGTATTATGCTTATTTTTTTTTTACACACAGTGTTGTTTCAATGAAACAAAGGTACATTCTATGAGAATAAAGCTGTTGTCTGGACCTTTACAAATATTACTTTTTCTGCCATAATGCCTGATTCCACACTCTTTGATATATTGTCACCCCTATATAACTGTTGTTAAAAATGCAAGGTCTGTGGATGCCTGTCATGGTAAGAGGTCAGCCCACCCAGCTTATAGCTGTGACCTCACAGCAAAGCTTGACTTGATGAGAACTGCTCAGATCATTTCTTTTGTTGGTGCTGGTCAGGTGCATCAATAAAGCTTGGGGTGGTGGCCTCCATCTGACTATAGTGTTTGTCTTGACAGAGACTCATTGTCAGCACTTTTGCTTAGTTGGAGCATTTAAATAAAATATTATTATTTCAGCCACAAAGCATTTTCCACACCTTTTTTTTTTACTATTTGTTTCTTTTTCTTATATAGAAATGCGTTTAATCAATATTTAAAATATATTTTAAATTATATTCAGTTAAAATATAATTTCAATAAAAATATCTCTGCCTTTATCAAAATACACTAGCACACTAAAATATGTTCTGTTCTGAGTATTGATAGAATTGGGAAAAATTAGGACTAATTTTTTTTAAACTATTGAAATAACTTTAGAAATTATATTTATTGAGAAATTGGAAATACCATAAAATACTACTTCTAGTCGCCGGAAATCATTCAAAATGTGATAGATTGATAATAATAATAAGATATTGTGTATAAAATTTTGTTCACCTATATGAAACGGTATTTACATTATCAGTATTTTAGATACGTGAACTAGAGTAAAATACTACTTCCAGTTATCAGACAGCACTCAAAATTTTGAAACAATCTATAATATTAGCCTCATACTGTCTTTCTGTCTTTCCTCTAGATTCTAGAAACAACATGCCATATTTGTACTTGAATCACAATGTATTATTTTAAATAATGAAGTAGAGTCTATTTATGTATCGACTTAAATTTATTGATAGTTATAAAGGTTTTTTATTCTTCTGCATATGTCAACAAAAGAGCACACACAAAAAATTTAATACACGCACATTCCTAAAACATATTAAATGGATTAACGTAAAATAATATTTTCACTTAGATGCCTAGAAAAATGGACACATTTTATAACAGTAGTTTTGAAAAGAATTAATTAGTTAAAATGTTTAATCATTATGCCAGGGGAGGTAATTTAAAAAGTATGTACAACTTCCAGTTGTTAGAAATTGCTCAAAAACTTATAGAGAAATACAAATTTGATATAATACTTATATATAAAATTTCCTCGACACAACTGAAATAATCGTTTTTACAGACATCACAGACACTGACAAAATTGCAAAATCAATTTTTTTTTATTTTGGTAGGATGTTTAGATTTTTTTTATTTTTTGTTTGTTTTTGTAATAATTAATTCAATTGTGACTATCTTCTTCTGTTACAATAATAACTTTCTGTTATTATTTACAATAATAACTTTCTGTTATTATTTTTCTTTAATAAATTTTTTTTTTTTTTAGACTTTAAATCCTTCAATAATCACTGTGAGAAATGCAATAGATAAATCTCTCACTGAAAGGGACAGTAATATAGACAAGTTCTGTAATCATCTAGACAAGGACATTGCTGAGCTTGGTAAAGAGGTGAAAGAAGTTAAACAAGAGGCTCAGGTAAGCTCTGTTACTATTAACTAAAAAGTATGTACATAATGTTAATAGCAAATGCCAAATATTTTTAACAAAAGAGAATGGGGACTGCAAAAAAGAATTCTGTGTCATCTTGAGCATGTCCATAAACCATGAAGTTAAATATGAAATTTTCATTGTGTTTCCGACCAAATCAAATATATAATATATTACAAAGTGAATCAAATTAATAATTTGTCATAACTATTAAGTTAATTTATGAAAAAAGATAATTAAATTATCTTTTGCTTTTATTACTTAAAAATTGTTTTACTTGATTAAGTTATTGGTTTAATTAACCTGACTGTTGGTTAATAATTTTAAATTTTATATCTATGAACTTAGAATCCAATGATTCTTGATCCACAATCTGACAAAGACAAAGTTCGCACACTGCTTAAAAAATTACTTTCTACCATGGACAAATTGCAAGAACAAGCATTCACATATAAATCTTATCAAAAGACTTTCAAGGTGATGTATAGTCTCTACATAGTTAGAAAGTGAGAGTGATAGGAAGGAGAGAAAGAGAGCCATAAGCAAATACCTCACTTGCATTTTTAGGATCTATAATAGTCTATAATATGCTTGAAATTATGTTACTCATGAATATAGAAACTGGAACTGTATGAACAGTTGATTGATCTGTATAAAAACATACATTTCTTAAGGAGTAAGCAGACACCCATAGGGGCAAAGCAATAATTTCTTAACTATTCCATACTCTTTACCCAGGTTAAAAGTGGTCCAAATGCTGTTATACATTTAGATCTATAGACCAAAAGATAAAATACTTATATAGAGAGACTAAGGCATAATCTATTTGGTTAAGGACATTATTCCCCTTGTCTATTCCCCCCCTCCCCTGGACATCACCCCCCTCTAACATTACCCCATGCAGCCTTTACCCCTCTGAGTAATTACCCCCCCCCCCCCCACTAGATGCTCAAGAACCCTGGCCCACACCTTAACCCCAAACCTAAAGCTATAACTAAGCCTAACCACAGCTCCAATCCTAACCTAAATCTAAACCTATATCTCACCCTAACACAGTAAGCCTAACCCAACCTATTCCTTAAGCTATCAATATTGCATCTACCTCTAAATGACTGGGGGAGGGGGGGGGGGTAATGTCCTACTTGACATGGTTAAAGATGGAGGAAGGGGGAATGTCAGGGGGAGCGGAATGTCATGGTGTGATAGAGGGGTAATGTCCTGCTCCCAATATATTTTATATTAAGTATGAGGTGATGTATTTATAGAGTAAGAGATTACAAAGATTACAAAGAGAAACAATACAAGGAAATGAATAATTCTGACCAAAAAATATAAAAACTGTTTTGACTTAGGTGGAAGTAACCAAATTTGATGCTCTTGAGGAGACCCATGCTGAGCTAAAACTGAAAGATATGCTTTGGAATGCAATTGATGAGTGGGATGAACTCATGAAAGACTGGACTACTGTAAATATATTTTGATATTTTTTTCATGTAAGAATTAGACAACCATTGGCCAATAAACTGCTCCCCAGCCATTTGTACACATACATGTTCACATCTGTTGTTTCCATCTCAGGCCCCATTCCATACACTGGACCCAGAAACAATGGGGAATACAACTTTAAAATATGCCAAAAGTGTAATGCAACTTGAAAAAGGTTTACCTCCTAATGGTGTTGTACCTATTCTCAAAGAAAAAGTTGAGCTCATAAGAGAGAGGGTAAGTTAAGTTATGAATTCCCTGAGAATTTTTATGTTTTTTTAAATCTAATTATTGTCATTTAATTTAATAAGCAAGTGAAAACAAGGTAATTAAAAAGTCTAGTGACAGTTTAAGCGCAATTTCCTTATGTTATCTAAAAATAGCTCTGTCGTAGCGTAAATCAAGAGCAGGGTTAGTAAAACCATTGGTTAAAATACATGTTTTATTTACAATAGAGTTAAATGACTAATAACCATTGCGCGCCTAGCTACTGAACGTGATGACGCAGCCATTGAACGTGATGGTGCAGCTATTGAACGTGATGACGCTTGTGGTGTGGTTGGATAAAAATGCCTACTAATTCGGTCCAAATTTTAATTAATTAAAAAAATTTTTTTTGACCGAACGAAAGGATATTTTTGGAAACTTTCTTCGGCAATATTGTTCTAAATTATGGCAGGAATCGATTGGTACATGTTTCAAGTCGCTAAGTGGTCTGGTTGCCGAGATATGGGCCAAAAACTGCATTTTTTCAAGGTTTTTTTGGCTTTTCCGGGAAATCCATGAAAGAAACCCGGAATTTTTTTGGCCTATGTTCATCCTCGTAACTTGCTTAACATAATTGCTTTTGGAACTAGTCCTTGATATTGCTTCGTTGAGGAGGAGATACGACTTAAAGCTGCGGACACACATTCATACATCCATTCATCCATCCAGAAATGACAGGTTAATAAACGCAATTCTCCAGAATGGAAATTGCGCTAAAAATAATGTACAAGTATAGAAAAAAGTTTTCTTCATGCATTTTTTACTGTTTGTTTAAAGAATCAAAATAATTTGTACTTTCCTACTACCAAACTTTAGATGCCTGTAATCACAGATTTGAGAAATCCAACACTCAAACAACGCCACTGGGATCTTATAGAAGAAACATTAGATTTTCACTTCACCCCAGAGGAACCTATCACATTAGGCAAACTTGTGGAGATAAAAGCTTTTAAACACAGTGAAAAGCTACAAGAAATCTCAGGACAAGCTTCTAGTGAGGCATCTTTAGAGTCTATTTTGAAGAAAGTAAGTAAAAAATTGTGATAGGAAAGCTAATGTGTACAGAGGAGATCTCGGAAGTTTTCAGATCTAAATTAAAGTCCTACACATTTCACTTCATGCATAACTATTCAACAAATTACACAATGGAGAATTCAAATTGTTGTCAAAACCAATTTTACAAGATTTTTAAATCTACTAAATGCATTCACACATTTTTCCTTTAAGTTTTATCCGCTTAAAGCTAAGGAAAACCAAATGTAGCTATGGTTCTTCAATATGATCAATTTTAAAACAATTTTTTTTAATAAAGGTGATATTCCTTCAGTATCAAATAACTTGCATTATTTAAACCAGTTTATGTAAATGTAATTTTGACTACAGGTGATTGACTCTTGGAAGACAACTGAGTTTATAGTGTTAAACCACAAAGATTCTAAGGATGTTTTTATTCTTGGCAATACTGATGATATTCAGCAACTTTTAGATGACAGCAATATCAACATTGCTACCATAGCTTCATCAAGACATGTTGGACCCATTAAACCACAAGTGGATGAATGGCTCAAGGATCTAGATCTTTTTGGCAAAACATTGGTGATCATCTTTTAAAAACATTCTATTTTTTGGGCTTTTGGTCTTTTACAATAAGAATTACTTTTATTCAATCTTTAGTTTGTTTATAAAGTATATGAAGTTAAAAATTTTGTTCAACCACAGGAGGAATGGCTGAACTGCCAGAGATCCTGGTTATACCTGGAATCCATCTTTTCTGCACCAGATATTCAACGACAGTTGCCTTCAGAAGCAAAGATGTTCATGCAGGTTGATAAATCTTTTAAAGATGTGATGAGAAAAGTAAACAAAGTTCCTCTTGCTATCAGAGCAGCCACCCAGCCTGGTATGATTACAGTTTTTCTTTAAATACATATTTACTTGAGTAATTCTCTAAATCTATTGGAATTTACAATTAATTAATCGCTTTTGGTTTTAGGTCTTTTGGAAACTTTCCAGAACAATAATGGTCTTTTGGATCAAATCATGAAATGTCTTGAGGCATATTTGGAATCAAAGAGAGTTATTTTTCCAAGGTAACAATAAATGCTTTGTGTTTACAATTTTTATTAATAATCAAATGTAAATATATCATTCTTATCATAATATATATTAACTTTTAGCTTGCTTCATAAAATTTAAAAATAATTTTATAATTTTGTCTTACCATAAGTTATTAAAAACCAAAATAAAAAATAATATTTTTTCCTCCAGATTTTACTTTTTATCTAATGATGAGCTGCTTGAAATTCTGGCTCAGACTAGAAATCCATTGGCTGTACAACCTCATCTTAGAAAATGTTTTGATGCTATTTCAAAACTGGAGTTTGGTATACAAGGTCAAACTGAAGGCAAAACTACACCTGATCCAGGTTAGATTGAAAAAAATTATTGTTTAGTTCTTGGGTTTTTTATTTATATTTATACCTATTTCAAACCCAATTTTTGTTCCCTTTTTATTATTTACATTTTTCAAACTGATTTTAAAGATGATGAGAATAAACCCCAAGAAGTCCATTACACCAATGACATTTTAGCTATGATGTCACCTGAGGGAGAAAAGGTATCCCTTGGCAAGGTCAGTAAAAAATGTAGTTGAACTTTGATCATCTTTCCTATACATCTAACATGGCTGTGCATGTATAACTTAATTTCAATTGTGTGTTGATTTTAGGGACTTAAAGCTCGTGGCAATGTTGAAGATTGGCTTGGTAAAGTGGAGGAAGCTATGTTTTCAAGCTTAAGACGACTGTCAAAAGCAGCCATTGGAGACTATGAAAGAAGGCCTAGAGAGGAATGGGTTGTTGCACACTGTTCACAGGTTGTGTTTTAAAAACAAAATATTTTAATTTTTTTACTGTAATTGAATAAATAGATCTTAAATAGTATTTCTCAGTTAATTTAACCTTTCTAAAAGTATCCAACAAGCACAAATAGATGTTTATAGTATTTTAAAGACTGATCCTTTACAATGTAACTTTAGTGTTTAACTTTTCTACCATGTCAGGTGGTTTTGACCATCTCCCAGCTACAGTGGTGTCGTGACGTGACAGAGGTTCTAGAAGGAGATTTTGATAGACTGGAAGCCATGAAGGAATTTGAATTAAAAAGTTTCCATGTAATTAAAGTAGTTTTGTGGTAGCCTTACACATTATCAGTAACTCTATGATACCATTACAAAGACTGATGTAAATGTGATGGTGGTATATTAGTTCAACAACAATGATGACTATTAATATTATGGTTAAAATAAGAGTAAGGGTTAGGAAATCTTGTGGAGGGAATAAGCTTATCCTGCATTTTACTAGTTACCTTGTTTTGTATCATTATGTGTAAATTTATTTTCAGGATCTGAATGTTCTTGCTTCAATAGTTCGAGGTGAAGTTCCTAAACTAGCAAGAGCTGTGCTTTGTGCTTTGATTACCATTGACGTACATGCAAGAGACATGATTACAGATATGGTGAAAAAAGGGGTATGGTGGTTTCATTATTTTATTACTATTTTTTATTAAAATCAGTAAAATAAATTTTAATTTTTAAAATTTTCGCACACTAAAAATAGTCAAATTCTTCGGACTTAGTAGAATTCTGACCATAGCTCTATCAAAACATCATTTTAAAAAAAGTTTTAATATATACTGAAATATAAATAGTGTAAATTTGATAGTTATAAGTGCATTTAAAAAAAGTACCAAAAAATTAAAAATAACTAAGGTTTTTTAGAGTTTCTATAACAACAGAAATTATTTTCAAACCCTTTTTGCAACTTAATACTTACTTTCATTGGCCAAACATGATAAAAGTATTTAAAAGGCTTCAGATATTTTAGAAAATGGAAAAAACTGCATATTCCCTTAAGTTCTTTTCTGAATTTTCTGAATTTTTTTTTAAATTGTATGTTTTTAGGTCGACCAAGTTTCCAGTTTTGAATGGCAAAAACAGCTTCGCTACTATTGGGATCCAGAAATTGACAACTGTGTTGTCAGAATGTCAAACTCACTTTATGAATATGGTTATGAGTACTTAGGAGCATCACCAAGACTTGTTATTACCCCACTAACTGTATGTAATTGCTTTCTGTTTAAGTGTAATTACATTTTATTGGATCTAAGTATATTAATAGAGAATTTTATGATCTACTCATTTTTTTGGTTTTATGAAATATTGCTATAAAAATAAAAATGCATTTTATTTCAATTGCATGATTTAAAATCATTTTAGATTTCTGTTTGTTTTTTAAATAATTTATTTCCACCAAAATGTGGTGATACAATAATAAACTGACTGGGATGGTGGCCAACTCCACCAATTACCATAAATGTAGTGATACAATAATAAATTGACACACTTCATGCTTTAGTTCAGTAAGGTAAGTTTGTTCTCAAATTCTGAAATCTAGTGCCAGTGTTGTATCTGCATCAATGCAATATATTTTTTATGTTTTCACAATGAGCTAATAGCTTAAATCACAGTAATAATAATACACTTTTCGTTTCTTTGAATATTACAAATAAAGCACAAAGTCTTGTTTCCAACAAATATTCTCAAAAGCTCATCGCTGTTACAGATTTCTATATTTGACACCTCTACTAGACTTTACATTACTAGCTTTGCCTTCAAAGCTAGGATTTTGGCTTTGAATGTTCTGACATGTGGATAGCTGTAACTATTTTCTCTCACAATATATTTGATGCCCAATGATTTGATTGTTATACATCCTTGTTCATACCTCATTCTGTTCAAACCACTAGCCTTATGGTCCTTTTTCTAGTGCAGCTAAACTTGATGTAATTTAAAGGGCTTTTCAGTTCTAATCACAGGCAACTCATCTATGTCAAGTTTATATAGAAACGCAACCAACATTTGTTATAAAAATGTGCAACACAACATAATGTTCACAAAAGGATCAAACAATATTTGTATACCTCATATAAAAGATATTTCTTGATTTGTGCAGGATCGTTGCTACTTGTGTTTAATGGGTGCTCTTCAACTGGACCTTGGGGGTGCACCTGCAGGGCCTGCTGGTACTGGGAAAACAGAGACAACAAAAGATTTGGCCAAGTCTCTGGCTAAACAATGTGTGGTTTTTAACTGCTCTGATGGCCTTGATTACAAAGTAATAATTTTTATGTTATTTTGTTTCTGAATATATAATTCCAATTTTACAAAACAATATATTAATAAATAATCCCATTTTAGAAAACATGTATTTTGCATTATTTTTTTAATAACACAGTATTACTGATCAGTTACTTTGAATTAATTTCTAGATGATGGGTGGCTTTTTCTCTGGTCTTGCTCAGTCAGGAGCATGGTGCTGTTTTGATGAGTTTAATAGAATTAACATCGAGGTCTTGTCAGTCATTGCCCAACAGCTCATCACAATCAGAAATGCCAAAGCTCAAAGGGTATATTAGAATAAATATATTTTTTGAAAAAAATGTGTGTGTAATGTGCAAGAAGTGCTGTTTTTATCAAATGTATTAACATTAGTGCTATAATATAAAATAAATTGCTTTTTTTTGTTATTTACATTATTTTAGCTGCAAAGATTCATGTTTGAAGGAAGAGAAATCAAACTGGTCTACACATGTGCAGCCTTTATCACCATGAACCCAGGATATGCTGGTAGAACTGAGTTGCCTGATAACTTAAAGGCATTGTTTAGACCCATTGCAATGATGGTTCCAGACTACAGTAAGTTGAGTCTTTATTTCAAGTTTTATAGGTTTTATGCGTAGAACATTTACTTGTGTACTTTCAAAAATTCTTTGCTTAAAACATATTTTCTCAATTTGTACAATAACGTATGCTCCTACTTGAATTGCTTTTAGCTCTGATTGCTGAGGTGATACTTTATTCTGAGGGATTTGAATCTTCCAAGGGTCTGGCACAGAAGATGACCCAGATGTATAAACTTTGTTCTGAGCAGCTTTCCCAACAAGATCATTATGACTTTGGGATGCGGGCAGTCAAAAGTGTCCTTGTTATGGCAGGCTCTCTAAAAAGACAAAACCCAGACAAAGCTGAAGATGTTGTACTAATCAGAGCCCTTAGAGACAGCAACCTTCCCAAATTCTTAACTCAAGATGCCTTACTTTTCCGGGTATGCAACCGTCCATTTTTAGGTTCTCTTTTCTTCATGATCTTAAAAAAATGTAATTGTCTATATACCTTGATTAAAAACACATTTCAGGCCATCCTGTCTGATTTATTTCCTGGAGTTGAAATCCCTGAACATGACTATGGACGTCTTAAAGAAGAAATTATCAGTGTACAGCTTTCTAAAGGTAAGATACTTTTTAAAGATCTGAAGTCAAATTTGTTTTTAACCCAAAATTCAAATCCAGTTCTATATTTTTTCAAAATCATCTACTTTCTAACTGAACTACTTTAAACAGGCCTTCAAGTAGTTGAGAACCAGATTATCAAGGTGATTCAGCTGTATGAAACAATGATTGTACGTCATGGCGTCATGTTGGTTGGCCCCACAGGCGGAGGAAAAACAACAATATACAAAGTATGTATTTGAATATTTGATCATAGTTTTTCCTTTTTGAACCAACCTATAATGTATTCATTAGACTGTCATCTTATTTTTGTATTTATTTTAATAAATGTAGATTTTAGCTCAAACTCTGGAGAATCTGCATGCTGAAAATTTAGGTGTTGAATTTTATCAGCCTGTACACACCTATGTATTAAATCCTAAAGCCATCACTATGGAGGAACTGTATGGTGGAGTCAACAAGCTTACCATGGAATGGAAAGATGGACTTATGGGCCTGACAGTCAGGCATGCAGTGCAGGTACAGTCCTTGAAGAATTTATCTTACTAATATTTAATGATGTGTATCACCAAGTGTACACAGCTTAATTGTAACTACTTTATATTGTTATATAAAATGGAAGCTGGGTAATTCAAGTTTGTAATACTGTTTTGTCATCAACTAATGTACAGGACACAACTGAAGATCACCAATGGATTGTTTGTGATGGCCCTGTAGATGCCCTCTGGATTGAAAATATGAACACTGTGTTGGATGACAACAAAATGCTTTGCTTGGCAAACAGTGAAAGGATCAAGTTCACACCTTACATTCATATGTTGTTTGAAGTTCAAGATCTAGCTGTTGCCTCCCCTGCAACTGTCAGCAGGTACATACAATGACAGTTTTTATTTGTAATGTTTTTACAGAGTTTCATCTGCACTATTTAACTATCTTCTCTATATATGTGTAATCTGTAATGCTTGTGTTTGTTAATGAAGGTGTGGAATGGTGTACATTGATGCAGAAGAACTGAAATGGATGCCCTATGTCAAAACCTGGATTAAGACTTATGAAAAAAGACTGAAACCAGAAAGCCTAGAGTTTCTTTTAATGCTCTTTGAAAAAGCTGTAGAAAATGGACTTCAGTTTGTCAGCAAAAAATGTGAACAAGCCATCAACCAGGTATTCATTATTTGCAGAAATTATATTTATGCATACATACAAATTATAACCCAAGATTTCCAATTGAAACACCAGTATTATTTTATCCACATCTATACAAATCAATGCCAAAATACTGTTGACAGTATTTTATTACCCTATTTTATTTCTTATGTGTAGGCTATTTAAAATATATTAATCATTATTTCCTATAGTTTTTCAATCATCCCATGCATCCCAAAAATTAAATTTGGCTCATTTTAATTGGTTGTGGTGTGCTCATGTCACTTTATATTTACCATTCAAAATATTGTGATATAAAAACATTAAATCTGTGTTCATAAAACTGTTAGGAACATATATATATATATATATATATATATATATATATATATATATATATATATATATATATATATATATATATATATATATATATATATATATATATATATATATATATATATATATATATATATGTTTGTCTGTCTTGGTGTCTGATTGTTTTTTATCTATTACTACACCGTTGATCAGAGTTCCATGACACTTTTGGAAGTAGTTGAAAATACTCCTTGACAGTTTCTGCGATAAAAAAAATTCTTAGAAATCAGCAGACTTGAGCTTACTAATGATGGTTGTGGTTGAAGTGGAGTGTCTCTTTGTTCACTCACTTGATGCATATAAAATACTTCACTCTTCCTGTCACTTTATTTCATTTACCAGTTATACTTGCAATACAACAATTTATCCCTGAACTTAAAGAATTTTACTAAACTTAACTGAACATAACTGAACTTGAATGCTATTGTACAATCTTTTATTGCTTTTATTTGAATTTTGTAATTCTTTTTTCTTCACTTGTCTTGCCTTTTTTGAGACTTTCTTTACAATCACCCTCAGGCCACTGTAAAAAATTAGTCTGTTGAGTTTTGTTTTTTCCTGAATGTTGTGGAAATTATTTAGGCAAGTGTCATAAAATAACTCTTGTGCATGCCCAATTATTACTTTTACTTGGAGTTTCATTCCACCCATTGTAAAACCTTATGATTTGGCTCTTCATATCTTAAAGTTTACTCTTATTTCAAAATTAAACATGGCTTGTTTGAAGGCTCGTATCTTAATAATCTTGTATGTTTGGGTTTGCGTATTTGTCAAGGTACCACTGGATATTTATGGATGTATTTTTAATCTCTCTCCCTCTCAAACTCCCTCTCCACCAGTGGCAAAGTTCATGCTGTTAGAAATTGAACCATGGAACATTTGAGCCTGAATCTGACCAGAGTTAATTAACAACATTTTCTGGTTTTCAGGTTGACATAAGCAAGGTTGTAACCTTGTGCTGTCTTTTAGAAGCTCTCATCTTTCCTGCAAGAGGAGGACTGGATATGAACCTAGATCAGGTGATGGAATATTAGCTAAACAACTGTTAGCTATAACTATAATTCTTAATTCGCTTTTTTAATTTTTAACTTATTAGGCTAAAAATAATTTTTATATCTATTCCTTTGTTTTTTGCATTACAGACCAAGCTACACATGCTTATTGCCCAAACTTTTGTGTTCTCATATTTATGGGCAGTTGGAGGAAATTTAACAGAAAACTACTGGGATTCTTTTGATACTTTTGTCAGAGGGCAGTTTGATGATATGGGTGAAGCTAAGGTTAGAAAAATAAAATCTTTAGAGAATTTAGCATAACCTTCTTGATGATAAGTCAAAAAGGCTATTAGATATTTGTAAAACAGTTTAATATATTTCTTGATTTCCATGGCATTACTAAATTTACTATTTAAGTTAACTGTAAAATATTTAAAAGTCTCATTTCTATTTTAGCTGCCACCCGCTGGGGACTTGTGGAGCTACTATGTAGACTACGAGGCTCGGCGGATGGATAACTGGGAAAAAATAGTTCCCAGTTTTAAGTACAACCGTGAGGGATCATTTTTTGAAATGCTTGTCCCAACAGTTGATACTGTCAGGTTTGGCTACATACTCGACAAACTGCTAAGCGTACGGCGCTCTGTTTTGTTTACAGGAGGCACAGGTGTTGGAAAGGTATGAACTTACACCATCTCTTTTGGGACAAAGCTAGTTTTTGTTTTAGTTAAAAAAAGATTAGCAATAAAAATATAGTTAATAATCCTATTAAAAACTTGTTTTCAAATATTTTAAAAGTCTGTCATCGCTAGAGGTCTTCTGGAGAGTATTGCAGACAGACAGAATTATGTGCCTATCTTCATTAACTTTTCTGCACAAACAAGCAGCTTTAGAACACAAGAAATGATTGAGTCCAAACTTGAAAAGAGAAGAAAAAATGTTTTAGGTAAAATTAACTTTGCTTTTAATGAGTTCCCTAGACAAAATGTTTGTAACAATTTTTTTGTTTCGTTTGAATTTTCACCAAGTGGATCAATCAAGCTTAAACTATTCATGATCAGGTGCACCAAGAGGTAAACGGGTTGTCATTTTCATTGATGATCTCAACATGCCAAAACTGGACACATATGGTTCACAACCACCAATTGAACTTCTTAGACAGTACCAAGATTTTGGTGGACTCTATGACAGGGAGACAATGCAGTGGAAAGAAATTGAGGTAAGTTATCCTTATAATGAATCTTTTGAAAATACTTCAAAAGTTCATCATTTTGACTTTTATGTTAGATTATGTCAATCTTGGGAGTAAAACTACTTGCATATAAATTTATTATTCCTTGATCACTGATATCAATTTTCATTGATACTTACAGGATGTGACCCTTTCAGCTGCATGCGCACCTCCAGGTGGTGGCCGCAACCTTGTTTCTCCTCGCATGTTTAGACATTTCAGCATGCTGTGCATTCCTTCACCAAGTGAACATAGCTTAAAACACATGTTTATGGTAAATATTTTCAATCATTTATTTTACGTCATATCACCATACATTTTATTGACCAATCATTTTTTAATATATTTTAATATTTAGTGAAACAATATGTTTTCTCTTTAAAGTAAGTATAACCTCTTTTTGTTTAGGCTATCCTAAATGGATTTCTGATGGATTTCCCCCATGTTGTTAGGCAGTGTGCTGAATCAATAGTGACTGCAGCTGTAGAGCTGTATTTTAGAATGAGTTCAGATTTGTTACCCACCCCTGCAAAATCTCATTATGTTTTCAATTTAAGAGACCTTTCCAAGTGTGTACAAGGTAAGTCATTTTATTAGTTAATCACAAAGATATTAGGCCTTATACCTTTTTATAAAATCACATTTTGTTTAAAAAAATATTTTTCTTAGGCATGCTTCAAGCAGATCCAGGTGTAATTAGAGATAGGCCACAAATTTTTAGGCTTTTTGTTCATGAGACTCAGCGTGTTTTTCATGACAGACTCATCAATAATGAGGATAAGATGTTTTTTCATCAAATCATGTCTGAAATGGCCAGCAAACATTTTGGAGAGGTTTGTATTGTTTGATCATAAAAGCTACAGATCTCATACATCATTTCCTTCTGCTTCTTTGCTCGAAATATTACAAGTTTTAATATTTTTAGTTTTATTGAAAATCATTGTATAAATAATATTATATGCAAATTCCCTACACCACTATACCTCATACTATGAACCCCCTTACCCCCATCTTTTAAAAGTTTAAATGAAAGGGGACGACAGGACCATTGTTATTCTATATCAAACTGGGGAGAGGAGGGCGCTCGGGTCCATGTGGACATTTACTTCATATGTTGGATTACACATTGTAGTGCTTACATTTTAAAACAGACATAAAACTTGTTTCCTGCATGTAAAAAATAAAATTAAGGTGACAGAGGTCATGCTTTTAAAAAAATCCAGCTCAACATGTAAATTGTATCTATACCTACACTGTGGTCATCCATGTCATAAGCAACATTATGATTTTTAACTAACCCCCTGCCCAATGTCAAACATTAAAGGATTTACCAACATTGGTCAATGTTCAGCAGCCTACATCAATTAAAGTTTGCTGAAATATATAAAAAAATATTTTTTACCAACATGAAGCAGGAGGTTAAATTCCGTGTCTAACTTTTCTGCAAAAGAGTGTCATTATCCCTTTGAGATCCCCTAATAAAGATAGTACCTTTCTGGTAAGCAAGTGATTAAGTAAACAGAAATAGAGGCCATGAACCTGAGGTGGGCTTGCGACTAAATAATCTTATAAATGCTATTAGTAATTATTAAAATACATGCAACAAAAGAGAATAATTCTTCTAGCACTTTGTTCCAAAAAAAATCCAAAATTTTTGTGGACATCATATATGGATAAACCCAGTGCTGCTCATTTTATTATACTTAAGTGAACATCTTTTAACATATACATACCATTTACAACATCTTTTATTACAAAGCTTTTAACAAGTACATGCAATTTACAACATCTTTTATTACAAAGCTTTAAACATATGCATACAATTTACAACATCTTTTATTACAAAGTTTTAAACATGTACATACAATTTACAAAATCTTTTATTACAAAGTTTTAAACATGTACATACAATTTACAAAATCTTTTATTACAAAGTTTTAAACATGTATATACAATTTACAACATCTTTTATTACAAAGTTTTAAACATGTACATACAATTAACAACAGACAGTGGAACCTGAGTCTTTTGTTGTGAAGCCAATACTCTTTGGTGATTTTATGAAAATGGGAGCACCAGAAAGTGACAGAATGTATGAAGAGCTGACTGATATTACAAGAGTTGCTGCTGTTTTAAATGATGTGAGTAATACATTGGAGTAATATTTTACTGTATTAACATCATTTGTTTTACAACATTAAAAAGTCACCTTGTTTTACAAGCAAACCTAAATGATTATTTTAATAAATTGATTTGTTTTTCCTTCCCACATTTAGTACTTGGATGATTTTAACATGCAGTCATCTAAGGAAATGAAACTGGTGTTTTTTATGGATGCCATTGAACATGTATCACGCATTGTTAGGATGATACAACAAGAACGAGGAAATGCTTTGCTAGTTGGTGTTGGTGGTACTGGCAAGCAATCTCTGACTAGGTTAGTGCAGGATGGCTAGTATCTTTCACTTGTAATCAAATATTGATAAAATGTTATCAATAAGGGAATTTGGGTAACACTCCCAAACATGTCTTATTTTTATTTTACTTCAACAAAAATTTAACCAAAATTATTTTATGTTCCGCTTTGTTATGAACCACTAGTTTAAGGATATCATTAGGCTTATCTTTAAGGGGATATGCACCTAAAAAAATCAACAAATCCTGATGTGGGTTTCCTGTACTATTGGATACTTTGTCCCTTTTTTTTTGTTTAAAAGACAGTTTTTATGACCCCATTAAGTAAAAAATATTCATTTTTTCCCAACTTACAAGCTCTCTACGAAAAGTTTAATATCCATCATCATATTGTATTCGGCATCATTGGAAAGTTGCATTTCTCATGTATTTGATAATCATATATTTTCCATCATCTCTGAAACACCCAAAGCTTACAGTTGGCTTTACAAATGACACAGCAATGGTATTCTCATTACCTACTATTCATTACTTTTTGCTATTTCTCTCAGTTCTCATTTTTTAACATTAAAAAGCCTACTACTTTTTTAAGTTATAAAACAATGCTCACCATATTTCTAGTAATTTTTCTTCATGCAAAAATTAAACTTTTGTCATGAGGGAATTGTGATGGCTTTCATAGAAAAAAGTTTATGGTAAATACTATGCAAATTTTGAAGCAATTGCATAAAGGGTGCGATTTTTTGGACCTTGTAGAAATCTGACCAGTAGCTCTATCAAAAAGTTGTCGTGACAAAAGTTTTAATATAAACTGAAATATAAGCAGTTTAAATTTGATTGCTATGAGTGCATTTTTAAACGTACCAAAAAATTCAAAATGGCTAATGTTTTTTTTTTTGGGTTTCCATGATAACCGAAATTATTTTCAACCCTTTTTTCACTGTTTAATACTTACTTTCATATGCCATACATGGAAAAAGTATTCAAAAGGCTTTAAATCTTAAATTGTAAAAAATAGAAAAAAACTGAGCATATCTGCTTAAGGAGTTAAAATGACGTAGAGCAACACTTTTCCTCCTAACACTGAAGCATTAATATATTTATTGACAAATAGGTAAAGTGGAAAAAATGAAAAGTTAGAAAGTTATTTGTAATTTGAGTAATAGAAGACTAGAAAAACTGTAAATAAAATAAAAATTCAAGAATTAATTATTCTTTAGACTTGCTGCTCATATCTGTGGCTACAAATGTTTTCAAATTGAGCTGTCACGTGGTTATGACTACTCTGCTTTCCATGAGGACATTAAAAAACTTTATGACTTTGCTGGTATCCAAAATAAACACACAGTGTTCTTGTTTACAGATACACAGGTTTGTAAAAATGTTTAATCAGAAAGCAAATTAGAACATTAAAAGAATCATTTTTTTGGGTACCAGAAATAAAATGTGTTTTTTTTTAAATTAAAGATTGTTGTTGAAGAATTCCTAGAGGACATTAACAATATTCTAAACTCTGGAGAGGTTCCCAACTTATTTGAACCAGATGAATATGAAAGACTAATCATTGGCTGTAGGCCAGGGGCAAAAGAGGCTGGCATCCCAGAAGGAAACAGAGATGCCATCTATGACTTCTGCATAAACAGAGTCAGGTAATCAGTGATAATTACTTTTCTGTAATTTGTTGTTTTTTACATTAACATCACTGTATGTCATTGGTGATATCAACCTATTTTCAATTTTAAATGTCTGTCCTAGGCACACAATTTGTTCTGGCATATTGCGTGATCATATATGCCTCAACTCCCCAGTCCCCATAAGGGCTCAAAAATGCATTTTATTAGGCTTAACTGTTATGAGCTATAGGCAGTTAAAAATCCCTAACCTTTATATCATAGGCCTGATCCCACCACTAAAATGATGATGTCACAAAGTTCCCACAGCCTACCTTACACCCACTAATAAATGAAATTGAAATAAAAAATAACATTTTGTTTAGTGTCTTTATTTTTAAGAAGTAAAAAAGAGACTATTCTACATTTCTTAAACCCCACCCCTTTTTACCCTTGCATCATCACAAAAGTTGTTAAAAACCCCTCTCCCCTGCATGTGAAGTCATCAAAGGACAACAATGGTACATGCTACTATTTGTGGTGGTGTTGTAATACTACCATAATAGACACATTCAATAATGTTCATCGACACTTTTGTTTTGTTTTTGTAAAAACGTCTCAATTGTTTTTCTCTGTAATAATTGTATGCGGGTGGATTCCACCCACAACGTACACCAAGGCTGGTACAGTGAGGGTTAAGAAACTTACAATCTCATTACAATCTCATTACAATCTCATTACAATCTCATTACAATCTCATTACAATCTCATTACAATCTCATTACAATCTCATTACAATCTCATTACAATCTCATTACAATCTCATTACAATCTCAATACAATCTCATTCATGTTTAATGGAGATTTGTAAGGTTGAGAAAGCAAACTTTAGTAAATGAAATTTAACTTTTCATTTGCAAAAGAAAGATAATACAATGCTTATGATTAGAATTTAAAGATTTTAAAAAGTTCTTAAAATTAATTATCCTTAGTTCAAGGCTTCACTGTATACTGAGGCTGAAACCAATGCTTTACTTGTTTTCTGACAGAAATAACCTGCACATTGTTTTGTGCATGTCACCTGTTGGATCATCATTTCGTAGCCGCTGCCGCATGTTTCCTTCACTTGTAAACTGCTGTACCATAGATTGGTTTGTTGAATGGCCTAAAGAGGCCCTTTTAGGTGTATCTAGATCATCTTTTGAGAGTGTTGATCTTGGTGCACAAGACCACCTCAAGGTAACATTTGCTAGTGTCTAAAAAATGTATTCTATATTTCATGACATATAAATGACACTACTTAGTCAAAAAGTTTTGAAATATGATTGTAAATCAAAATATTTTTTTTTTAAATATTAAAATGTAATAATTGAACTCAATTAAATTCCAGCAAAGTGTATCTGAAATGTGTGTTGACATCCACATGAGTGTTACTGCAATGGCAGAAAGATTTTACAATGAACTGAAAAGACGCTACTATACCACTCCAACCAGCTATCTTGAGCTGATCAACCTGTATCTTTCAATGTTGCAAGAAAAAACAAAGTGACTATTGCAAAATATTTAGGATACATTACAAATATATACAATTTTATTATTTTTTTCATACATTATACAACAGTAGAGTTTTAACAAGTGTCAAATAAATGCTGTTTTATTAAACAGAACTTTGAAAACCGCACGGGATCGTGTAAAAAATGGCCTGTCTAAACTGCTAGAGACCAACACACTTGTTGACTCAATGAAGAAAGAATTGATTGCTTTGGAGCCTGAACTTAAGAAAAAATCAGCAGATACACAGAAACTTATGGAAGATTTAGTAGTGGATCAAGAGAAAGCTGATCAGGTGAAAAGTCCTGGGTTATTTATTATACTTGATAATAATAATAAATAAGATAATATAACACTATAATATTATGTTTAATGTAAAAGATAAATAATCCAGACTGCAATACAATAATACTATCTAGCACACATCAATGCCAACACCTTTCACTCCATACACAACCCATACAACCAGGGACTACAAATAATACATGATCTAGCACACATCAATGCCAACACCTTTCACAACACAACTTATACAACCAAGGACTACAACTAATACACGATCTAGCACACATCAATGCCAACACCTTTCACAACACAACTTATACAACCAAGGACTACAACTAATACACGATCTAGCACACATCAATGCCAACACCTTTCACAACACAACTTATACAACCAGGGACTACAACTAATACACGATCTAGCACACATCAATGCCAACACCTTTCACAACACAATCCATACAACCAGGGACTACAACTAATACACGATCTAGCACACATCAATGCCAACACCTTTCACAACACAACTTATACAACCAGGGACTACAACTAATACACGATCTAGCACACATCAATGCCAACACCTTTCACAACACAACTTATACAACCAAGGACTACAACTAATACACGATCTAGCACACATCAATGCCAACACCTTTCACAACACAACCCATACAACCAGGGACTACAACTAATACACGATCTAGCACACATCAATGCCAACACCTTTCACAACACAACTTATACAACCAGGGACTACAACTAATACACGATCTAGCACACATCAATGCCAACACCTTTCACTCCATAACACAATCCATACAACCAGGGACTACAACTAATACACGATCTAGCACACATCAATGCCAACACCTTTCACTGCATAACACAACCCATACAACCAGGGACTACAACTAATACACGATCTAGCACACATCAATGCCAACACCTTTCACAACACAACTTATACAACCAGGGACTACAACTAATACACGATCTAGCACACATCAATGCCAACACCTTTCACTGCATAACACAACCCATACAACCAGGGACTACAACTAATACACGATCTAGCACACATCAATGCCAACACCTTTCACTGCATAACACAACCCATACAACCAGGGACTACAACTAATACACGATCTAGCACACATCAATGCCAACACCTTTCACTGCATAACACAACCCATACAACCAGGGACTACAACTAATACACGATCTAGCACACATCAATGCCAACACCTTTCACAACACAACCCATACAACCAGGGACTACAACTAATACACGATCTAGCACACATCAATGCCAACACCTTTCACAACACAACCCATACAACCAGGGACTACAACTAATACACGATCTAGCACACATCAATGCCAACACCTTTCACTCCATAACACAATCCATACAACCAGGGACTACAACTAATACACGATCTAGCACACATCAATGCCAACACCTTTCACTCCATAACACAATCCATACAACCAGGGACTACAACTAATACACGATCTAGCACACATCAATGCCAACACCTTTCACTCCATAACACAACCCATACAACCAAGGACTACAACTAATACACGATCTAGCACACATCAATGCCAACACCTTTCACAACACAACCCATACAACCAGGGACTACAACTAATACACGATCTAGCACACATCAATGCCAACACCTTTCACAACACAACCCATACAACCAGGGACTACAACTAATACACGATCTAGCACACATCAATGCCAACACCTTTCACTCCATAACACAATCCATACAACCAGGGACTACAACTAATACACGATCTAGCACACATCAATGCCAACACCTTTCACAACACAATCCATACAACCAGGGACTACAACTAATACACGATCTAGCACACATCAATGCCAACACCTTTCACTGCATAACACAACCCATACAACCAAGGACTACAACTAATACACGATCTAGCACACATCAATGCCAACACCTTTCACAACACAACCCATACAACCAGGGACTACAACTAATACACGATCTAGCACACATCAATGCCAACACCTTTCACAACACAACCCATACAACCAGGGACTACAACTAATACACGATCTAGCACACATCAATGCCAACACCTTTCACTGCATAACACAACCCTTACAACCAGGGACTACAACTATGTACAAATAAAGAAGCTTACAAAATACTTGGTTAATAGGAGGCTACAATACTTATTAGCTACTGCTTTTCATTACTTTGTATTGACTATACCACATTTATTTAGGTTCGGAAAGTGGTTATGGAAGATGAAGCTGTTGCAAAGGTTAAAGCTGAAGAGACTAAAGCTATTGCTGATGATGCTCAGAGGGACCTGGATGAAGCTTTGCCTGCTCTTGAAGCAGCTATTAAGGTGATTTTACCTATTATATTGAGCTATTAATTACATAACAAACAATTCATATATTTATTTTCACAAGTTCATAACATTTTTACACAACAATTTCAGGCACTTGATTCCCTTGATAAAAATGATATATCAGAAATTCGAGTGTTTTCAAAACCACCAGAACTTGTACAAACTGTCATGGAGGCAGTAGCCATTTTACTCAATCAAAAGTATGTAGTTTTAACATTTATTTTTAGTGCTGTTTAGTGAGACAAAAAGTATTGAATGAAAGTTGCTGTTGCCTTTTATTATTATCAATAACTAAACCTGTTTCAGCTTTTTTCAATTTTATTAACTTTTGTTGTTAAACAGAACTGATTGGGCAAGTGTAAAAGTTATGCTTGGTGATGCTGCCTTTTTAAAAAAATTGTCTGAGTATGATAAAGATAACATTCCTGAAGCTATACTGAAAAAGTTAAAAAAGTACATGGATAATCCCAAATTTATTCCTGAAGCTGTTGAAAAAGTCTCAAAGGTTGTTCATACTTAAAGAACTTTTAAATTCAAGTCTAAATTTTAATACTTAGTTCAATTAGTAAAGTTTTAAGTGTTAGATATGTTTTTATTTTGTTTTTTAAATTATATAAAATTAAATCAAATAGACTTACACCAATATATTTATATTTATTATAATTATTACTTTAATTTTTGAAAATTTCATTTCTAGGCTTGCAAATCTATGGTGATGTGGGTCAGGGCAATGGATTTATATGCCAGAGTCTTCAGAACTGTTGAACCAAAAAGAAATGCGTATGGCTTTTATCTTTAAATCATCAGAACAAATGATTTGGACATAAAAAACTTTACTTTGTTATTTTATCAGTATTGAAATGTTATAATTAATATCATTCATGCACACCAGGTTAAATAAAGCTCAACAGGAACTGGATACCGTTATGAGACTTCTAAAAGAAAAACAACAGAAACTTGCAACAGTTGAGGCAAAGATAGCTGAACTTCAAAAAACATATGACGAAAGTGTTTCAGAGAAACAAAAATTAGAGAGAAATATTGCAACCACTGCTGGTAGATTAAAAAGGTCATCAAAATTAACAACTGCCCTTGCTGATGAACAGGTGTGTATATATTTGGTTATTTGTTTCTTTTTCAGGAAATCTGTGTATAAGGTCTAAAAAACTGAAAAAGATCCTAATTTCTGTTATTTAGTAATGGTTTTGAAATATGAAATATTTCATTAGCAATTTTAAAAACTTATTGCCAGTTTTTTTCTGAATAAATTTAGTAATCTACACAAACAAAAAAAACAAATAAATAACCTCCTGCTATCACAAGAAAAAAGAAAAGATAAAGGCAATGATAAACCAAAGGATATTAAACTGACATTCTGGTGAATTTAAGTTGAAACTGATAAAGTGAAATAGCATTCTCTCACAGTTTCTAATAAGATGAAGTTCTGACCATGGAAAGTTAAACCGTGTACCTACTTAGGGCTGCTGAGTTAAAAAAGACTAAACCAATTATCTGGATAAGTTTACAAAGAAGTGAACATATTGCTGCCATTACACAAATCTGTTTGTGTAGCATATATCTAATTTCTAACATTTATTTCATAAAAACTTTTGGCTTTTTAGATTTTAAAATATTACTTATAAAAAATGCCACTTAGAATTTTTTAATTGAGGAACCATGTGATGTCTACAAGTCAAATCCATGGCCAGGTTCTTGCAAGTTCACTAAACTAAAAATGTTTATGAGAGTGTTAATTTTTGGGCTATTGGAACAGCAAGTTCACTAAACTAAAATAAACCGGGAGTGATCTCCCCTAAACTTTCTCGAATATTCATATATAAAATAACAGGGGATGGGAACTCGGGCTTTAGACATGATTTTTAATCCATTTTAAATACTTAAAGTTTTAAAAATATAATAAAATCTCGTAGACAAATTAATTGCACACCAAGTGAACGCCAAATAAAAAAGCGCATAATAGTGCGCAATATTATTAGTACTTTTAAAATTTACATTAGTTTTTTGAGAAATCGGAAGTAGCGTAAATTACTACTTCCGGTCAACGGAAATTACTCAAAATTTAACAGAAGGTAAAGAAATAGATCTTTTACTTACATGTGAAATTTCATTTATCTATCTGAAATAGTACTCAAGTTATAGGCTTTTGAAAAATTCAAAGTAGGAAAAGTACCACATTTCGGTTATCGGAAATCGCTCAAAAGTTGATACGGATCTACGATTTTGATAAAATACTTATATATGAAATTTCATCAACCTAGCTGTAACGGTACTCAAGTAATCGTGTTTGCACACGGACACACACACAGACAGACAAACAGACAGACACACAGACATACGGACAAGATTGCAAAATTATGTTTTTCCGTATCAGTGAGGTGTAAAACGTCGAGATTTGTAAAAATCTCAATTTTTTTTTTTTGCATGATTACAAGACTTTCTCTATAGGCCTACTTTGTATATACGAGAAAGTAAATGTTTATAAGAGTGTTAATTTTTGGGGTATTGGAACAGCAAGTTCACCAAACCAAAAATGTTTATGAGAGTGTTAATTTTAAACTTAAATGAACACTTACATAAACAGACCTACATAACTTATGTACTACATAAGGATTTATTCAGAAGTTATTTTATACATTGTTTCTTACATTGCTTCAAGGAACGTTGGCAAGAAAGTGTGGCAGATTTTGAGATCCAGATAAACAATGTGGTTGGAGATGTTTTTATTTCGGCTGCCTGTGTTGCTTATTATGGTGCCTTCACCTCAGTTTATAGACAAGAGCTTGTCAACAGTATGTAGTTTAAAATTTAAAACATAAACTGTTCTCATTAACTTTATTCTTTAATTAACTAATATTGGAATTTTCACTTTATTTGTGCATTTGGATTTAAAAGTAGTTGTAGCTTTTAGTTTTCAAAGCTTTACTGAAAAATGTAATTGAAATCTTTAAAAATTAAACTATTTACTTCAGATTGGACTTCACGTTGCATACAGCTAGAGATTCCAGTAACTTCAGGCATGTCTTTAGCCACTATTTTGGCAGATCCATTTGAAATAAGACAATGGAATGCTGATGGCTTACCTAGAGACCAAGTTTCCATTGAAAATGCTATTCTAGTGACAAGAGGACGTCGCTGGCCTTTGATGATTGATCCTCAAGAACAAGTACATTTTTTTTTAATTTTCTAAAATTTAGAAAGCTCTAATTTATGCACACAACTAGACCATTTGCAGTTTTCCAAGTCTTATTAAGATTACAATTTCATCCTATTAACTAAGATGATATAAGATGACTGGCATTCGTTAAAAAAAATGTTTGTAAAAGTTTTATATAAATTATATATTTTTTAACCTCATTAAGAAACATTTAACTTCCAAAAAATATTCATATTAGATCCCTCAGTCTTTGAGTATTTTAACAACATGAATATGAAAGGATATTAAGAATAACCATCTTCCATATCATATAAAATGTTCCTTTATGAGTCATCCACAAGGGACGGATTCTTTTTTGTCCATTTTTCCCCTGTCACCATCATCATAAAAAGTCAGACCCCCCCCCACCCCACTTTAAAATCAGAGACTCTCACTCCTTTATAAAACACTAAAGCGTGACATCATTTTTCTTTACCAATCACACATCAGTCACAAAAATGAGCAGTCTCCCATCTCTAGGAGTGGGACATCATTTATCTGTGCCATATACAGCAAAATCAAATCTTACACATCATTGACTAAGTGTATTAAGCTGAGCCCATATTATCATCATCATTTTTCCTTTTCATTCCTTGCTGAGCTTGGGGTCTCTGTCCAAGCTTTCCACTCCCCATGGTCTCCTGACACTCAGCTGTTCCCAATTCCTTCCTATCATTTCAGCCTCCTCCAGCATGCTATGTCACCATGTCTTCTTGGGTCGACTTCTGTGGTGGTTGCCCTGCAGGTTCCACTCCAGGGCTTGTCTTGCCAGCATCCTTTCTAAGTGTGTGCTCAATCCATCACCATTTCCTTTTCATGATTTGCCTTTCTATTGCATTGTTTTCTGTACACACATCTCCCATAGGTTTGTATTTTCTACCTTGTCTCGCTATTATATTTTTAATATACTCCATAGGCACCTATTAATTAATGCTTGGATTCTTTTTGTTGTTGACTCTGTTCTCCATTTCTTTGAGCTGTAGAGCTGGAATTCTTTAATATTGGAGTTAAAGATTCTTATTATAGTTTTTTTAGGTTCGATGATTTCCAGACTGTTGTAAGATAGCCTATCTGGCTATGTTTATTCTGCTTTTGATATCTTCATCTGTTCCTCCCAACACATTGACCACACTTCCCAGATATATAAAGCTGTCTACTTGATTTATGTTTTGGTTTTTCAATTTTACATCTACATCTTGTTTGTGATTAATTCTTAACACACTTGTCATTTGGTGAATCAAAGTCCTACTCACATTCCATCCTCGCTCAAAGCTGTTACTTTCTCTTGTGTATCTTTGGAGTCTGTGTAATACTGTAAGGCTATAGCATCAGCAAATTCTAAGTCTCACTTTTTGTGTCAGGGTCCATTTCATTCCTCTGCCAGAGTAATGTATAACCTTCTCTTGTGAGTCAATTTAAAACTAGCAGGTACAATAGTGCTGAGAGGAGACATCTTCCTCAGACAGTTCTCCACTATGTACCACTTGGTAGGTACAATCATCATAGAGGTTTTTGATTGTTGCTATCACTTTAGTAGGTATTCCATAGTGTCTCATGACTGTCCACATAGTTTCTCCATCAAGAGTTTTTCCTGTAGTTAGATCAGGAGGATTAAGAGGAATCTGTCTATTCAGCACTTCCTAAAAATCTTCTTTCCAAGATGAATATCTATAGCAGACTGTAGTTTACCCTAGGTACATTGTAGTTAGCTTTTTTGCCACTCAAGAGATATTTTTTATAACAGTTTAATATCTCCTGCTTATTCTGCTGTATTGTTTCCAATGGTGTGTGTGTCATTCCTTAGTATTTTAGTGACCTCTAGCCAATCCTATATAATAATGTATAATATTTTTAAAAAAAATGTTACATTGGTTTCAGGCTAATCGTTGGATTAGAAACAGAGAGTCTAAAAATGGATTGAAAGTCATAAAATTGACATCTGGAAACTTTCTAAGGACACTTGAGAATTGTATTCGCATTGGTATGCCTGTTCTTCTGGAAGATGTTGGAGAAACTTTAGATCCAGCACTTGAACCTGTGCTCCTAAAGCAAACATTTATGTCTGTAAGTTGACTACAGTTTCCATATATATAGCAAACCAGTTTTAGAATTTCAGTTGTTAACAAACTTTTTTGCACAAGGAAAAAAGGTTTGAATATAATTTTTAAATATCTATAAAAACTTATCCTAATAACCACTACTAAAACAATGTAAAAAAAACATTTAAGACCAAATACAATATTAACCACATAGAAATATTTGCCTCTGTCAATTGTTTAACTATTTTCTATTTACAGGGTGGCCGTCTGCTTATTCGTCTTGGAGATAGTGATATTGACTATGACCGCAATTTTAGATTCTACATGACAACAAAGCTGTCCAATCCTCATTATTTGCCTGAAGTTTGCATCAAAGTCACCATCATCAATTTTACTGTCACCAAGTCAGGATTAGAGGACCAACTTCTGAGGTAAATCTGTTAAACTAGGATTATGGGACCAACTTCTGAGGTAAATCTGTTAAACTAGGATTATGGGACCAACTTCTGAGGTAAATCTGTTAAACTAGGATTAGAGGACCAACTTCTGGGGTAAATCTGCTAAACTAGGATTATGGGACCAACTTCTGAGGTAAATCTGTTAAACTAGGATTATGGGACCAACTTCTGAGGTAAATCTGTTAAACTAGGATTATGGGACCAACTTCTGAGGTAAATCTGTTAAACTAGGATTAGAGGACCAACTTCTGAGGTAAATCTGTTAAACTAGGATTATGGGACCAACTTCTGAGGTAAATCTGTTAAACTAGGATTAGAGGACCAACTTCTGAGGTAAATCTGCTAAACTAGGATTATGGGACCAACTTCTGAGGTAAATCTGTTAAACTAGGATTATGGGACCAACTTCTGAGGTAAATCTGTAAAACTAGGATTAGAGGACCAACTTCTGAGGTAAATCTGTAAAACTAGGATTAGAGGACCAACTTCTGAGGTAAATCTGCTAAACTAGGATTATGGGACCAACTTCTGAGGTAAATCTGTTAAACTAGGATTAGAGGACCAACTTCTGAGGTAAATCTGTTAAACTAGGATTAGAGGACCAACTTCTGAGGTAAATCTGCTAAACTAGGATTATGGGACCAACTTCTGAGGTAAATCTGTTAAACTAGGATTACGGGACCAACTTCTGAGGTAAATCTGTTAAACTAGGATTATGGGACCATTTTCTGAGGTAAATCTGTTAAACTAGGATTAGAGGACCAACTTCTGAGGTAAATCTGTTAAACTAGGATTATGGGACCAACTTCTGAGGTAAATCTGTTAAACTAGGATTAGAGGACCAACTTCTGAGGTAAATCTGCTAAACTAGGATTAGAGGACCAACTTCTGAGGTAAATCTGTGAAACTAGGATTAAAAGAATCGATGTAGGCCTATTCACACATGCACCTACAAAAAGAAAAAATGTCAACAGATATTTAAAAACGTTTAAAATCTTAGATTGAATTGTAATGTTTTGTTTAATATTTATGATAACAACTTGATGCATTTAATTGGTTTATTATTTCAAGTGATGTGGTACGCCTGGAACGCCCAGATCTGGAAGAGCAGCGCAATCAGTTGATTGTTAGGATAAATGCAGACAAAAATCAGCTTAAAGCTATTGAAGACAGAATACTCAAGCTTTTATTTGAATCAGAAGGGAACATTTTGGATAATGAGGAGCTCATTAATGTCCTGAATGAGTCTAAGGTAAATGCAAATACCTCTTACGCCATTTTTTTTTAACTTTCAGTTTTTAAAATCTACATTATTTGAGTTCCATGTGATGTTTTTATTAATATTAAGTTTTTACTAATTAGAATTGATTACCACAAAAAATATAGTTAGTAATAGTAAAATGTTAGTAGCCTACAATTCTGTTTTCAAAAATTATTTTTAAGTTTCAAATCTCAATCTAATTTTTATTTAAACAAAAAGTAAATCTAACTGTTTAACTGATGACTAATCTTGCATTAACTTGTACCAGGTAACATCAGGTGTCATTAAGCAAAGACTGGCAGAAGCAGAAGCCACTGAACAAAAGATTAGTCAAGCCAGAGAGAAGTATAGAGTAGTAGCAGAAAGAGGCTCTGTAATGTACTTTGTTGTGGCTGATATGGGAGAAGTAGATCCTATGTACCAGTTCTCTCTAAAGTATTTCAAGCAGGTAATAGTTTAATTAATTCAGTTATTTTCAAATCAGAGATTTTTTTAGCTGTGACATACGTTTTGTTTATTTCAATGTGTTAATCATCTGAATGAGCATGGCATTTTGTTGTTTTATTACATTAAAATGTATACATCTTGTAATAACTTTACTACTGTTGTTTTTGTAATGAGAATTTCATGTTTTTTATATTTTCCATGACTTTTAGCTATTCAATGCAACTATTGAAACTAGTGAAAAGACAGATGATCTGCCAAAAAGGCTCAAGATTTGTTTAGATGAAACTACTAAGTGTATATACAATAATGTTGCCAGGTATGTGTCAAAAATATTTTTGTTTTAATTGAAATTATATCAGTACAACTTACAAGAACAATCCTTTTTAAGTTTAAGTATAGTAAATTATTAATTTTTTCCTTTAGTTTTTATTATTATCAATATAGTATTCATGTTGTTCCTATATTTTAGAGGCCTCTTTGAAAAACACAAACTGGTTTTCTCCTTCATGTTGTGTGGAGAAATTTTGAAAACAGCTGGTTCAATCACTAACTCTGAGTGGAACTTTTTTCTTCGAGGAGTGGCAGGAAACTTGGATAAGGTTAAACAAGAGTTCCATTCTTAATTTTATCCAAAAATTACTCTTTTGAAACTTTCATCATTATGTATAACATTCTTAAATTTTAATCACCCACAATGTTGGTATCAATTTTTTATTTTATTCACAGAGTTATTCTACTTTGAAAATTATCATTTGTGCTTAAGTACTTAACAAAATTATACCTTAAAGCACTTTAAAATAATGCTTCCAGGTACGTCCAGAAAAACCAGACGTGGATTGGCTAAAGCAGCAAATGTGGGTGACTGCTTGTGATCTCAGTGACACTTTTGATATTTTTAAAGGGATTCAAAATGATTTGATCAAGACACCAGTATTTGTGACCCTTGGTGATGGCACAACAGTAAGGACTCTAAAATACATGTATTAAAAAAAAGAAAAAGATAAACGTATCATATATTTTTTTCTTACAAGCCTACATATACAAAATAATACACTTTTTTTCAATGTTAAGTCTTAAAATACAATCTAAGAATAATGAATTGCTTCCTAAAATATACCTTTTTTCTAAATCAGTTTTTTGCTAACCCTGAAACATATGAAGGCTATGAAGGAGAGCCAGCAGAACCTCCAGATGACAACCTGATGCCTAGTGAAACAAAAGTAAATGGACATTGGAATAAAAGGCTCAATAGCTTTCAAAAGCTCATGTTTGTTAAAGCATTTAAGGAAGAAATGGTAATTATCAATATATTATTTATGTAGGTATGTTATTTGGTTTTAAGTTCGTTTTTTAGGCAGGTTTATGTATGTGTGTGTAATTTACTGGCAAATTGACAACTATTCTTTTTTGCAAAGTGTAAAATGTCATTAGAGGTTTGAAAAAAAAGCTCCAACTCTAACCTTCACCCTAATGTATACTTACAGCTAGGGTTAGCCAAGAGTGCCTAATATTTGTGTGTTCAAGTGCATCCTTTTGTTTTTTGAGCATTAGCCACATTTTTATTTTAGTCTTCTATTGGGTTGAATTCTTCTGAGTAGGCCTATATTGTGTGCAAACAAAGAGCTATACATGCTAATGAAGAACTATACACACATCACTCTATATTTTCAGTACCTCTTGTTATATTAAATCATTCAAATAAAACATTAGGTCAAATATGGCTGAATTTCCTGGAGGGAAAAATTCTTTTCTACACTTTGCAATTCCCATGTTTGTTAGGCGTTTTAGGCAAAGATCAATATACAATTCATATCATGTTTAGCTGACCCATTTCAGAAGTAACAAATGTAAATATAGATTATATTACAATAAAATGTTACTGATCGACCACTCGTATCCTGGGCAAGCGCAAACTCACCTCAGAAAGACAACTATGGTCTAATTATAATACCAAACAAGTGCTATAAATAGACGATAATACAAACACATAGTAGCTTCCTCAGAATGTAGGGTAAACATAACATACAGATAGGAGTGGTTGGTCAGTACCTTTTAATTTTTGTGTAACTAGCCGGCCAAAGTGTTTACACTTCTGACCTGAGCATGGTAGGCAAGCAAATTGGTGCTGTGAGGAATGGCTGGCTTTAATCTTGCCAGGTTTTATTGCTCTGTCTTTGCTGGGACTTAATTGCATACCTATATCTACATTCTGCATTGTAATAATACTCTGAGTTTACATTTGTTATTTTAGTAACAGTGCCTGCTCCCAAACCCCTCTTCATGTTTGGCCCATTTCAGGCACTTTGCTGGTAACATAATATATATATGCTAGTGTACCCATCCTGTGCTGCAGTTTCAGAAGAAAGAAGGATTTCATCAATCGTGTATTTTTAGGCTTGTGACCTTTTTTTCTGAAACTGAATTATTTAAATGTAAACAAAGGCACTATATTTTTTGATCATTGTTGCTGTGGCATGGGTTTGTCCACACTACTGCCCAGATGCCCCAGGGCTTGCTGTATCACCCTCCATAATATTGAGTGGAACATACCTTGGTGACCGTTTAGGTGTCAGGAGCATTGCAGGTGCTCTTGGGAGCCACTGGTTAGACAATTACAGGGGCACTGGGTACAGCCCTTAGTTTGGTTAATCATTGAATGTTGTGTGCCACAGTGTCTCTATTGTAACTGGCTCTTTAAAACAAATGTTATTGTAAGGACCATAGGTGCTCACATGGGAGACCAGGGTGCGGTAGGTCATCCTCTGCTGGGGTTCTGGCAGGCATGCCTGATTCCATTTATTCAACGATTATAGTAGCCCATTGTATCCATAGTGTAACACAAAAGTTGTTGTTGAGTCGCTTTGCACCACAAGGGGTCCACAAAAAAAATGATGATTATTATGATGCGCATGATTCTGATGTAGGGTCAGTTGTACTCACGGGAGAACCCGGGGCATAAAAATGCATCATGGCAGGGCACCTCCCCCTCTGAAATTAAATTTGTTTTATATATATGTAACTGGGGTAGGCCTAACTACCAGTTACAAATGATAACGAACGAGAAGCCGAGACGCAGTAGGAAATCTGACGCAACTATAACAGGTGGCTTATTGGATCGGTCTGATAACAATCTCAAAGCCAACGCGTGCTATTTTGGGAAACGGTACGAGAAGTTTCAGACGAGCTGTCAACTTTGATGGATGGGATGCAGATGTTTTAGTGAATCGGACGGTACGTCAGAAACTGCGACATTAGTATTCGGATACATCGATTACAAGTATCGATTACGGAAATGGAGACAAGTACGACTACGATTTCAAGGCATAAATAGGAGGGGACGGCAGAACTCGTTCTCTTCCCGTTTCGAGGCTCTTGCCTCTTTCATCGCTCGCTTAGATCAGTCAGTCTGTGTGACTATGTCAAGTCGGTTATAGAACGGGTTAGCCGTATTGTGTTAAGAAGGATTATAGACATGTGGATTCAGTTATATAAAGCCTAGTGAAGGACTGTTAGGGGTCAGTTGATTCAGACTATTATTGAGAAGCATTCCTGTTGATTTATTGTGTTATTATGAAGCATTTCTTGATTCATGTAATAAAGGATCAATAGCGAACCTGCATCTTGAGTATCTATACTGTGGTCAATGTTGTCTAGAATGAGTGGTTAAACTCGTTAACACGTGGCACTACAGGCAATTAGGTCTCATTACATGTGGCGTTGCGAGCATGGTAACTGTTGGCTCGTTACAATTGGCGTTGTCGGCAGGATAAATGTTCGCTCGTCACAATTGGCGCTGCGATCAGGATGAATTCAACTAGACTTGCCGTTTAAGGCACCTATAGTCAACCTTGTGCATAACTGTGTTTAGTGTGTGTGTGAATTCGGACATTCAGGAACTGTGAAAATTGAGGAACGAGGAAAAATTTTTCATACACACACGGTAAGAAAGAACTCTTTTTTTTTGGTACTTAAGGAAGAAAATGTCTACTCTGGACGAGAAGCAGACCCATATAGTGGTCCTACCCAGAGAGTCCCATATTAACAAATTTTACGGGGACGGAGATCCAACTTTAACCAACAGGTTCAGTGAAGAGGTCAAAGCGGCCTGGGCCTCGAGACATATGTCACCAGAGGAAAGATTAAGACTGCTGATGGGCAGTATAGGTGAAACGGTTAGGGCAGAGGTTAAGTGCCACGATAGGACCGTCCAATCAGATCCAGATAAGGTGCTGGATCTGATTATGGAGACCTTTGGGGAGAGACGGTCGGGAGTGCAACTGCTATCGGGATTCGTGGGCTTAAAGCAGAGAATGGCGGAGAGTGTGATGGAGTACTCACACAGGATGAACAGGGCCTTTGATTTGGTAAAGGGCAAATCACCGGACATTGATGTACGCCTACTGAGGGACCATTTCATCGAGGGGCTAGCAACCCCGATCTTAAGGAGAGAGTTGAAAGAGGAGGTCCACAAAGACCCGCAGTTGACCTTCCTTCAGGTCAGGAACTCAGCGATCCGCAGGTCCGAGGATGAGGACCAATCGAACTGTTCGGTGGACAAAGTCTCTGTGCCTGAACAGAGACAATCCCCACCCACAGGGGCCGACACGATGGAGACCATGATGGCTCAACTGTTGGCCCACCTAGAGAAGGTTGACCAACGCTTGAAGTGGTTGGAAAGCAGGTCAACAGCTGAGAATCAGGAAAAGATCGGTACAAAACAGGGACGGGTTGGACGGCCGCGTCCTGCCAAGCCATCACTCCAATGGACGGCAGACGGTCGACCAATTTGCTTGTCCTGTTCACAACCCGGACATATGGCACGGTACTGTCCGGTGAAACGATCGCCCTCTGTAAGGCAGGTCAAGGCTACAGAGCGGCGAGGTAATGACTTAGTAAACAAAATGACACAGAAACACAGTAAGGAGAAAAAGAAAGGTAAAACACAACTAATAGAAAAAATGAACTGTGAAATGAACTTGAATGTTGAAAAGTTTCAAGTGAACAATTTGTTGGCTAAGAAAAATGATGATAAGAAGAAAATTGGTAGACTTAATAAAGGAATTCAAAGTCTAACCAGGAAACTGGATAGGAAAAGTTCATGCAAATTAAAAGCACAGGAGAAATGTTCATCTTTAGAGTGTCTGTTATCGGAAGAAGTAAATAAAAATAGTGGACAACAGAACAGTGTTGGCAAACTAGAAAAATTATCAGATATTGAAAAAGAACTTCAAATTACAGCAAAGTTGGGATCCATCGAACAGCGATGGGCAGCAGAATTGGCACTTTTTGACCTGGAGAGAAAATATCGCCCAGGGCAGTCCAATGGTAATGCTGACGCGTTATCAAGGAATCCGTACGAGAGACCGGGTGATGAGGAAGAAACACTGACAGGAATATGTGAGGTCAGAGCGTCAACAGATATCCCTCATGGGGTACAAGTGATGCAGAACGGGCAGACCGGGGTGGAGCACATATCCACGGAACCCGAACATATGGACAGTAGTGATTTTATTTGCCTTAATCACAAAAAGATAAGAGATGCCCAGAGAACGGATAGTGGCTTACAACCGCTATTGAAATACGTCCAGGAACAAAAATTCCCAGGAAGAAGGGAAAGAGAACAATTTGGTCGAGAAACAAAGAAAATACTGAGTCAGTGGAACCGTCTCAGTATAAAGGATGGTGTTCTCATGCGGAGAATTCATGACCAAATTGATGGCACAATACACCAGGTGGTGGTGCCGGGACAGTTACGAGAAGAAGTGCTAAGGTTGGCACATGACAGGGCAGGACACCAAGGTCAGGACAGGACGCACAAAATTTTACGACGGAGGTGTTACTGGCCCAATATGGAAATGGAGGTCAAACGCCATTGTGAGGCTTGTGGGAGGTGTCAGCATGCGAAAATGCCAGTTGTCAAAATGAGACAGCCATCAGGACACCTACTGGCGACAAAACCACTAGAGATTGTGGCTATGGACTTTACGTCGTTGGAGCAATCATCGGATGGGACGGAACATGTGTTGGTAATGACTGATGTATTCACCAAATGGACTGTGGCGGTGCCCACACGAGATCAGACTGCCAAAACAGTGGCAAAGGTCTTAGTAGAACATTGGTTCATCAAATATGGCATACCAAGACAATTACACTCTGACCAAGGAAGGGCCTTTGAGTCAGAAGTAATTAACCAACTGTGCAGTCACTACGGGATCAACAAATCTAGAACAACCACATTTAATCCGAAGGGAAACGGACAGTGTGAACGGTTCAACCGCAGCATGCATGATTTGCTGCGTACGCTAGAACCTGAACAGAAAAAACGTTGGCCTGATTTTCTCCCAGAGTTGGTATATCTATACAACTGCACCCCCCATGCCACGACCGGCTTTACGCCACACATGTTGCTGTTCGGACGGGAGGCTCGACTCCCTCTTGATTTGTTCCTAGGAAAAAGGGAGAGTATGACTGGCTCATACACCGCACTGGAATATGTGAATGAACATATGAGAAGAATTAGAGAAATGTACAGGGTAGTACAGGAAAGACTAGAACATGAATCTCGGCGAAGGGAACCGCCGATACAGACGAAGGACCCGCCACTCAAACTGAATGACAGGGTATTACTGCGTAGCCACCCGTTAGGCAGAAACAAAATCCACGATCTCTGGGGACAGGAGATATGGCAAGTCGTGGAGATGCCTAAAGCAGCAGGTGGCCCCTTTAAGATAAGACCCATCGATCACGCCAAACCGGATCGGTGGGCGAATATTGCTCAATTAAAGAAATATTGGAATAGGCAAGAAGAGCAGTTACACACAGAGAAACCCAAGACAATTAGGGAACCGGAAGTTATAACGGAAATTCACATACCCATTCCGGAACCATATCACCATCAACAGAACAACCGCGATACGCAAGGGGAGGATACCGGCAACAATGAGGATCCCGGTCCCTCCAGAAGCAGAGAGACAGTAGACCATCAGATAAGTGGTCCGCGGAGAAGTTTAAGGAACAGAAGGAATACGAAATTTTTTGTCAGCAACCATCAATTCTTTCATGGTCGCGCTGGTATGAAAACAGACTGTTCAAAGAGGTATAGAAGTGAACTGGTGAAGGCACCAAATGGAAAGGGTGGATGTGAATTCTAGAACTGTTTTGTGTCTCAGGACGATGATGTAGACACAGTTGATATGTGAAATAGGTAGAACTGTCAATCGTATACGAATGGAACGTCGTGGACAGTGAGTGGAACAATAAATTTTTTTTTTTTACGACTGTGCGATTGACTTTGGAGGAGTGCACCTGCCAGGCGTTGTTTGTGGTTGAAAACACACAAAAA